AGTAATAAAAACAACAACTACACATATATTAAATATTTAGTAACTCCAATATTTAAAAAAAATCAAAACAAGGAAATTACTTTATAGTCACAGGGTTAATATATACAGCTATTACTGAGATCGATATCAAGACATTCTGCTTGATGTTGTATTTAATTAAAACAAATGTTGGGAAAAAAAATTAACAATGGAAAAATGAGGTCAAGCAGGGTTTCTTGTTTTTTCTAAGGCTTTTAAAATAAAACGCGCAAATACCCTACAAACTCATGATTGAGATGTATAGAAATTATGAATTTTCTTAATCATTATTAAAAGAAAAATCAAAATTTCTAGGCACTTCTGGATAATGTACATTTTTAGATGATTTTTTTTTCTCTGTTACTATATTTATTTAACCTTTACAATTATAAAAAATATAGCATTTACACATTTTTACAAGTTTTTGTAAATTTTACACAAGTGTACTAAAATTTTATTTTAATGTATCAATATATCCAATTGTAAAGGTTATTACACGGAGTATTTTAAAAGTTTTATATTAAAATATATATCATTTTTTATTAGGCTGTAATACCATTTTCAAAGAATATTAGAAGATTTTAATGAGTTAAAAAAAACCCTGCATTAAAAATAATAATAAACAAAAAGTTTATCTTAGGTTGTACAAAACACGAAAGGGACAAGTTTGATGTCGATTGAGTTGTATCGCATTGAAATTGTGTATTGATTAATTAAAAATTTAGTTTTTAGGCACGACTGATATTTAGGAGTGCCTTACATTTTTGCCAGAACAAAAAGTGTAAGTATCCTTAAAACTTATTGTTTTTGCGTAAAAAAAGTTTTGGTAAAAAATAATTGCGATCACGGACCTCAGTGATAGATTGTGCTGAAATTTTCCAGAGAGTTTCGTGTTTTATGTATAACGTGATGGTTCAAAATCGGCAAGGTTTTCAACTTTTTTACATACATACACACACCCCTGACAAAAACTGCAAGAGTTAGTCAAAAAACTTGAACTCACAGAAACGAGGTGTTGACAAGATTAAAAAAGTTAGCATGATTCAAAATATGGAAAAAGCTGTGAAGCCAGTTAAAAAAGGAACGTCAACCTACGCTGCTAATCAAAATTTCACTACACCTTATGCTACTTTACTCAAGAGTAAAAGGCATTTACCCTATTAATTTCAAACGAGGTCCAAGCAATATTTTAGATAGTAATGAAGAAAAAGAACTGGTGGAATGGATTTTACGGTTGAGTAAAACTGTATTTCCAGTCACTAAACAGCTGTTGTATGACATAGTGGAAAATTTTGTCATTAAAACTAGAAAAGAAACACGTTTTAAGAAAAGACCATCCAAGCACTGGTACTCAGCTTTTTGAGGAGACATTCAGAAACATATACTGAAACATTTGCTCTGGATTTTGTCAGATTTTGGCTCATTTTTTCAAATAAAAGATCATAGTTTCATGAAGTTGGTTCTTATTTAGCATCCAGAGGACTTGACAAAAATTTTAATATGGATGAGTTCAGTGGAGATGAGAAATAATTGCATTATTTAATCTATATACTTAAAATAATCAAAAAGTTTATGGACCGAACGGTATGAATAAATTTTGAATAAGTTCTCCGTTCGTAATATGTATTGGAAATTGACCGTAATTATAATATTCGAATTAAGTATATAGATTAAATAATGCAATTATTTCTATATTTTTTAATTACAGTAATGCAAGGAAGAACTGGAAAACACAAGGAAGATGAAAAAAGTTATGGCATTTCCTAAAGTTTTGGAACAAGTATAAAGAATATATATTACATAAATATACGCACAAGCCATTTACGTGATTTTGTACATGATAAACTTAGAAAAAGATTTAATATGAAAAAAATTATGAGGTGGTATTCGTCGAGCATTATAAAATTCTTAATTGTAGAAAATACCGGTATTACATACGGTAACGTAGAAAAAAAAGAGTGAGAAAATTTGTGAAAAATGTTTAATTTTACAACGGGCTCACAATTTTCTAAAACAAACGACGGATTTAAAAATAAAACAAAAAAACTCGCTCTCCTTCGCTATATATGTATGTTTTTTTATACATTGGATTATACAATGGAAATACTTGAACGACAAAAAGGAAAAAAATTTTGTATTTAACTTTATTAAAATCGTTAAAAGAAGCACACGACGAAGCTTAGCGGAGTGCAATCAATGTGTTTGGAAGCCAGTGCACGTTTCATTGACGCCTTTTAAATACACTGACGACTGTACTATCTTCATCTAAGCTGCGGTACGAGTGAACAATAGGGGACGTGTCAAACACGCGAATTGTGGCAAAATACTTAGCTTTAAGTAGAAAATTCAAGTTTTTACCTAGGAAGAATGTTGCGCTTACGTCCTCGAAATCAGGGAAGAAACGTCGACTTTAGCCGGGAGGGTCGCGGTGAAAATTAATTTTACTGGCTAGGTAAAATTGTAAGCCACGTAAGTACAAATTAGAGATCTATAAATGCTGGACCTACTGAAAATAATGATTTTTCACCATACTGCGCCGAAAGAAGGTTTGGTGAAAAAAATTACACGCACCACGCTTGTATATGTTAGATATATACATTACGCTAATGTTGCGCAAATGCGTTATTCAACCTCTAACATATACAACGCGTCGCAACACCGAAACATACATATATAAACATAGGATTATAAAGTTGAGTTTTCACTTACTGTAACAAAAGAATTTCAACGGAGAGCTTAACAGGACGATAGAGTGAGTGAAAATTCAACGTGGGACAGAAAATAGATAATCACGATAACTACACACGTTCATGTGATTAATCAAAAAGATTGAATTGAAAAGAGTCATTTTAATAGGAAGTATACATGACTCAGTCAAGACTTCATATGTTCATACTTTTTTTTTTGATTATAGAATATGATGGACCAGGTGATCCCTCAACGGATTTTAAACGTAATTTTCATATTAAAAAGAATATTTAAAAAATATCAACGATAACTTCAAGAATATTCAAGTATAATTAAAAAAGTAGATGGGCTCTTACGTATCATAACAATTATGATGAATACAATTAATGAGATGTCACATAATTTTTTGTGTGAATAATTTAAAAAATTTAGTTTTCATACAAAATACAATTTCATACAAAGTAAAATTGTTCTAAAAAACCCCACTACAAGAATGTGAAGATTTTTTTGTCAAGTCCACCGTTATAATTTACATTAAATTTCGAGGACTAAGATTTTAAATCTAAAAGGNATAGTCACAGGGTTAATATATACAGCTATTACTGAGATCGATATCAAGACATTCTGCTTGATGTTGTATTTAATTAAAACAAATGTTGGGAAAAAAAATTAACAATGGAAAAATGAGGTCAAGCAGGGTTTCTTGTTTTTTCTAAGGCTTTTAAAATAAAACGCGCAAATACCCTACAAACTCATGATTGAGATGTATAGAAATTATGAATTTTCTTAATCATTATTAAAAGAAAAATCAAAATTTCTAGGCACTTCTGGATAATGTACATTTTTAGATGATTTTTTTTTCTCTGTTACTATATTTATTTAACCTTTACAATTATAAAAAATATAGCATTTACACATTTTTACAAGTTTTTGTAAATTTTACACAAGTGTACTAAAATTTTATTTTAATGTATCAATATATCCAATTGTAAAGGTTATTACACGGAGTATTTTAAAAGTTTTATATTAAAATATATATCATTTTTTATTAGGCTGTAATACCATTTTCAAAGAATATTAGAAGATTTTAATGAGTTAA